GGTGTACACCCTGATGGTCTTTTGGATTCCGTGTAGTGTGCCCACCCTCAAGATGTATGTGTTATGAGAGTGTGAGTAATGTGAATGTCTAAGTTGTGGGATTACCTGAATTTTACCTGAATTCAGGTACCTTACACTTTTACCTGAATGTGGCTCCTGGGTTTAATGTCGGCACAAATGACAAAAGAACTCCTTCCATTTACTACGGGCAATGCCCGTATGCCACACTGTATGCCACATACAGGGCCCGACAACAGTAGGCTATGGGCAATTTTAAGTTTTAGATTTTAAATAGGCTGTATACATTTCAATGGGAGCAACAGGACGGTCAAATGTCTCTGAATTTACTACAGAGTAGGACTGATTGTAGGGTAGCAAACATCATTGGAAAACACGTTTTCAGCACTGCAGGTGACCTGGGTGTAATGTTCTAGCTAAAAAGAAACATGGTCTGACTCTTACCTAACTATATGAAGAGTAACAGAAGGTTAAATGCAGCTAATTTGTCCTGTTTTAAGCTAGGCACTTACACCTCCGCTCAGCTGCATGTCAGCCACCATCACTCTGGCAGCTTGTGATGTGCGGATCAATACTGAAATATCGATTCCTCCGATACCATTAATTTATGTTGTAGAATCGATTCTCATATTAAAATATCGATATTTTAGTAATTTAGGGTAAATTTGTAGTTCATCATTAAGTGCAACACAGTGGAAAGGAAATAAGGAAATATCATTCAGATTGTCTACATTGGAAGGAACTACTTCCTCTTCCACCTTTCATAGTCATGTTCGAAATACGGCTGTAAAAATGTGTCTCAGCGCCTGGCGTGCGCACTCACAACAATGGCTGAACGTAAATTAAGTCTTGAGTGGACGTATTTTACCTTCACAAACAGCCGAGACATGGTTTGCGATACATGTGGCAAGAAAGTGAGGTGTCGTGGCAGCTCCACAAACCTCATCAAACACCGCAGAGTAAATCATATCACAGAATATGACGAGCGTATGTTGAGGCGAACTGAAGAGGAGGAGAGGGACAGATGCTGCTAGGGCGAGACAGACATCTCTCGCGGAGTCCTTTAGTGATGCAGGCAGGCAAGGTGTTCAAATAGTACAACTTCACTTTTTCTATTATATGATGCATTCTGCATTATTAAGTGATAAGAACAAGTAGTCTGATGTCCTGTAATCATGATGACGCTAAAATTTGAGATACAATAAATAAAATAAGTTTTTGTACAAAGTATCGGTATCGGATCAGTATCGTCGATAACACCCTGAAATTTACTTTGTATCGGATCAGAAAGGACATCAGTGGTATCGCACATGACTACTGGCAGCAACGGTGCTAGAGCCAGAGTAGGGGAGAGGTGAGCTGGAACAAACCATTTTGGGGGGGGGGATCTATACTTTTGTTTATTTATTTATACGTCTCAACCTATGTACTGTATGCCTTTTATATTTTTAGTAGTGTTTCACACAAACAGCAAATATTGTCAAAGAAGCAAGAAATCTTTGGGGGTGCTTTGATTCATTTTTGGGGTCAGCACCCCCAAAAATGGGCTAAAATCACCCCTGAATGAATTCAATGTTTTTCATCATCTTAAGAATCAAAAGCTGTCAGACTTTATCTGACACAATATAAAGAAGAAAAAATAGGAAGTGTACTCAGTTACTCTCATGTACTCTGATTACAGTCACGTGACTTAAAGGAAGCACTCCAGCAGCTGCAGGTGGTGGACAAAGTTGTCTGTGGTTTTATGGAGGCTACAGCTAAATGCTGCCTCTGTGGTGGATCATAAATTTGATTAGTTTTGAAGTTGTACATCTCTGTTCCTTACATTTCATGTCATGCCTTTATTAATGTTTTATTTGTTGCTTTGACTGTTTTGAAAAGAATATGCAGTGGGAATATAGAGGGAGATAAGTAGTGAAAGTTTTTCCTGGGTTTATTGTGCGTCGATTGTTAATGCCTCAGGGCTCCAGTAGGTGGGTTCGCGCGCCTCCTCCTTCACTCAATACAGACAAGTGAGAGTGAGAGCTGCGTGTCTGTGCCGTTCTTTCACCTCTCCTCACCATTTCCCCTGTTTAAGGGCACAACACCTCCTCCATAGTACAATATACAGTGATGTCATTTTGAAGTCCTTTAGCTGATGATGGTCTTTAGTATGTAGCTGACGATTGATGATGAGAGAGGTTATGTTTGTGTTGTTCTGTGGAGATCATTCAAGAACTAAACCTGTTAAACACTCAGACCTGGTTCAGATTTCACCGCTTTAGTTATGACGCACTTATTCATGGTCGTCCTACAGCGCAGCGTAACAGACGTCACTCTAATGCGACTTCCTTAAGAGATATTGAAAGTGTGGCTGTTGCGGCTCCTCCAACCTATGGCCGCGGCAGGCTAAACATGAGGACACAGATGACGCGCAACAATAAACACATAAAATACACTTCTGTACCATTTGCTCCTTTTTTTCCACATGCAACTGTCCAATATACAAATCAGTGCCTGGGATTAACTATTAAACAAATGCACAGACTGCACAAACAAATAACTGCAACTCACTACTATGCCAAATTACAACTTGGCCTATGGCATCAATTTGCGCACTAATATACAAAAACCATCAAGTTACAGTCAAAACACATCAAAATCTTTCAAGCTGCATTCAACAGAAAGTTTTGCCTCATGCTCACCCTACCTTTCTGCTCATCAACATTAGGTGCTGTGAACAGGTGAGTGCAACCACATTTATCATCTACCACACCCATGAGACACGCCCCACACCCCGCACCAATACAGTGAGTCCATTTAAACCAACCCACTTAGTCAAAAAGGAACAACTCATATGGCTCCTACAGTGGTGCTTGAATGAGTGGCTGAAAAACGAATGTTTCAGCTTTATTTAAACCTCAAAGTTAACCTCATGTAGTCAGTTTTAAAACTCTAGTTGTGTTATTAACTGAAAATACCAACAGACTCAGACTTTTAGAACAAACTAAGAGTCAGATCAGCAGAAACAAAAACACGGAAATGTCTGCTGTAACTGCGTCGCTCTGCTCGTGTTTGTCTCTGCAGGTGAGGTTTATAAACCAAACAGTGTTTCCCTCTGAGATAAAGAGGAATAAACATGAGTCTGGTTTACATGTTACTTCCCAAACATTTAGTTTCATATTGAATCAGACAATCATATTGTCTGATTGTGTGACGGCATCACGAGGTCTGGTGGTGTCTGTGGATTTACCCACTTGGTCAGCGGTGTTGTTTCCAGCACAGAGACAAAGAAGTGTAATGTGTGCGTCAATGTGATGTGTATTAGTTTCAGGCGTTGGTATACAGCCAGGGACGGATCTACAGAGGTGGCATGTGCCACAGTAAAATGATCTCTTGCCACCCCGAGTGCCACCGTAGTTTTGTATGTGACAATGTTGTCAATTAAGGGGGAGCAAGAGACCACTCCATGCCACCTCTGTAGATCAGCCCCTGAGTTTTAAATAGTTGTATAAAAAATAAGAATCCTTTGCTACATTTTAAGGCATATTACACATTGTAAAAGCTGCATGTGTGTAAAGAAATGGTTTAGATTTTGCCACCCTAAAAACATTTCATTACATCCAGCCCTGTATACAGTGTAATGTATACAGGGCTGTATATATGGGCAGAAATCTGTGCCATCAGAAACTGAATTTGAATAAGTTCAATATGAATTTGAATTTGTCATTCAATTCAATTTGTCATTCAATTTGTCATTCAATTTGTCAAATATCATTTGTTAACATGATGCTTGTTCTTATACATGTAATACATTTATTACCAACCTAAGAGTTTATCCGCTGGTCATTCGACATGACGACTGACTTCTGAAGTCTTAATTCAGCTCAAGACGCTGTAGATTCCCGTCAGTAACACTTTCGGTCCGCTAGTAAAACGTAGTTCTATTAATCTGCGCTTGAACCGGAACCGGATGTAAGTTCCAAAAAACTGAATTGTAGAACTGAAACTGAATGGTGACAAGTGAATCTGAAATTATTCGAGAGCTGAATTTTTAAAGGATAAAATGCAGTTTCAAAGCAAATCAATTCATTTTCAAAATATAAATTCAATTTCAATTTAGTGATGATCATTTTCAAACCATAAATTCAATTTCAAATTAGACTAATTCAAATTCAGTTTTCAAAAGCATTCATTCAAGTTACAATTCAGATTCAATCTGAGCAATTCAAATTCAAATTGAACTTATTCAAATTCAGTTTCTGATGGCACAGATTTCTGCCCATATGTATACATTACATTACATTAATTATATGTAATAATAATTTAAATTTTTAATTAAACTGAAATTTAAAATTTAATTGAAATGTGGATAATCCAGAATAATCCAAAAGCACAATCAAGACGTATAGAAGATCCTGAACTGAGGAAGGGTGAACAGAATCCAAAATACTGAAAAGCCTGCGAGCCTGAGAATCTCAGGGGGGAATCCAGGAGGCCTGTGATGGAGACCAAGCTACTGAGGTGGCTAGCTAAGAAGCCAACAGCATAGAAACTATGAGGGCTGGCCATCTGGTTAGCAGCACAAACAGCTTGTCTACAGACCGGCACTGGTGGTCATGATAGGGTAGTTCAGGAGGCTTAGTCATTAAGACAAGATGGGGCCTGATTATTTAAGACCTTGTATGTGAGGAGCAGGGTTTTGAATTCAATTCTGGATTTAACAGGAAGCCAATGAAGGGAAGCCAAAACAGGAGAAATATGCTCTCTCTTTCTAGTCCCTGTCAGGACTCTTGCTGCAGCATTTTGGATCAGCTGAAAGCTGAGTTTTTTGGACATCTAGCATGGAGCCGATTTTTTATGGATCAGAGAGGTTAGGGAGATCATTCAAGAAACACTCAGAGCTGTTTTAGTTTTCACCTCTTTTCTTATAACTCACTTTCTGATTCTATAGCTCAGCGAGCCTGACGTCACTTAAATGCGACTATCTTAAGAGAACTGAACGCAAGTTTGAAGTTGAAACGATCGGCTGAAGCCCAAATGTTCTTAGCTTTGCTTAAACTTTAAATTGAATCTCCTGTAGTTACTTTTTAAAACGCATAGTCTGTTATCCGCTGAAAATGTCATCAGACTAGCATATTTAGAACAAACTTGTCCGATCATCAGAAAGAAGAACACGGAAATGTTTGTAACTGCGTCACTCTGCTCCACTTTGCTGTTTTTTGGCATCTTCGTGTTTGTCTCCGCAGGTGAGGTTAATAAACCAAATGTTCTCCCCTCTGAAATATAGAAGGAAAAATTGTATCACTGCGGTTTACGTGGTGCCAATACTTCCCAAATAATTAGTTTCATGTCGATTCCATTTGTTTGTGTCCGTGAATGCATCACGAGGCTGGGTGGAGTTTTATCGTAGAGTTAGCATGTTTGCTATCTGTACCACTGTGGGGACTGTCCTTCTGACTAAAGTGAGATCTGTGGTTGAAATAGTGGCAGTGTAAAAATTCTGTGCTTTAATCGGTCTGTGATGTCTGTTACTCGTGTTGTTTGTGGTCTGTCAGCCAGCCGGGAGCAGAGCGAAGGCTAACATACCAAAAGCTCCCGAGTGTTAAAAACAAAGACAAGTATCGCTACAGTCACTGTCTGTGCTTTTCGTGCTTTAGTTTTTTATGTTTGAAGTTTTTTAGGTTCTCTTGTTCTCGGTGAACTCCGGTATCACTTTTTTTCATTTGCCAACCAATGAGCATTTAGAAATGGCCTACGTCATCTGGCTTCCAATGACGTAGAACCGCACTTTACATCCTCAACCAAAAAGTGGATGGTAGGACCATAAAACCAACTTAGTGTGTGGAGACTTGTTGGAACACTGCAGGATAGAACCGACCTAAATCAGCTATTAAAATGACTGCAGGAGTTTGGCTCACATATGATGAAGCAATTATCATCTCCATTATACTGGTTAGGTGAGAGAAGGCAAGGAGTTGCAGAAAAAGGTGCTGGGTAGGAGTGCTGTAGATGTGATGGTGCAGGAGAATGAACAGGTGGATATGACAGTGAAGTAGACAGCCAACATCTGAGGAGCTCACTCTACTGCTGCTCTGGTGGGGCAGGGTTAAGATGCCCATGGCTCTGACTGCGGTGTAGCAGGAGACACCAGGTGAAGGTGCCATTATGCTCACCCTTAAACTTGTGTTTGTGGGGGAGAAATGCAAACAAAAAAACAAAAAAAAAAAGAAAGAAAAACATTTGACAAAGTCTTGGATTTTTGACTTCTCCTTACCGCCGATTATGAAGCAATATTGTTTGAGTGGCAACACTTATCCACATACGTTCTATAGATTGGCATTTTGAGGCATCACAGCAGTAGCTGGAGGCTGCGGTGAAGCAGAAGGATGAGGCTGCACTAATAAAGAGGAGTAAAGATCACAGGAATTGTAGATGCAGACGGCTATAAATTCACAGCTTCAGATGCAGTTAATATAGTTGATACAGAAGAGTCCACCTGTTCTTGTTGTGCTGCATGCAAAGCCTGATGATAAGATGTAGGTGAATCCCTTGTGGCCATCCTTGGACTGGGCTTTCATCTTCTGGTTTCTTGTCTATCAACATGCATCCCGCCACTCCCATCTATCATCTGGACTACAGGATATCTTGTGGTTTTCCCCAGGCTATTGTTGTCACTATGTAAATTAGTGTCAGTAGAGATATTGGCCTTAAAGTGCTGATTAGAAGACGATGAGAAGGCAGGGTAGGGGAGTTTGAAGTCCTCCAGGTGCCTGGAGATGTGTTACATGATAAATCTCTCTATGTGTAGCCCTAGTTTGTATACCTCTGATTTTAAGGACCACTTCTGAAAGCTGCATGGAAACATTGGTGTTTACAGGTTTTCTGTAAGGAAGACTGCAGCTACCTAAGAATTTGGGTAATTGTACCAGAGACACGTTAAACACTGCTTTAATCCAGTCTTAATCCAAACTCATTGCACCGATGACTGAACACATTGTGTTATAGTGTGTGAGTGTGGATTCCTGGAAAAAATAAATATTTAATTCTACAATTCGTAACGTTACAAATAATTATGCAAATAACAATACTATGTATGACCTTCTACGTGGGTTCTGCTTGTTGGTATTCTACACAAGCGATATTTCATAATCTGTCCACAAGAGGGCGCTACAGACCATAAATTTGTCCCCATTTTGTGTGGTTTGCAAGTTTTCTAATAGTAGCGCACAAGTATGGCAGACTACCAATAGCTACACAGTAGAACAGTCATTTATGTTATTGATTTTTCAACTTGATGCTATTAAAGTAAGTCTCAAACACAATCTCACTGGCATTATATCAGGAGGTCTATAAATATATCTAATTAATATATCTATTAAAGATACATTTAATCTTAACATTTGCAACCAGTTATAACCAGCATCATGATATTTAACCTGACAAACATATAACATTTACAGATTTATTAACATGCAACTCAATCATAAAAACCTTTGTTACAACTGTGACACTGTGACCGCTCCATTAAGATACCAGCTCTGCTGCAGAGTGCTGCTGATCACCGGCATAAAGTTCCTTTGGGCGTGCTTGGCATTGTGTTTAGACGTCACAAGGCTTAATCAGAGCAGGGAGATTTACACAGTGTGTGTCAGTGTGATGTGTTGTAGTGTCAGGAGTCAGTATACAGCTACAAAGCTTTTTGTTCAGTGTATACAAACAGCTGTAGCTACATAAAGGCAGCATGCAGAGACTCACAGTGTCTTATGATGAGAGGCTGCTTTCTCTCACACATTATGGTCACTTATTATCAGCATATTTCACACTATAAATGTTCATATAACACAGCTACTGCCCCTGATAATGAGCTCTTTATTTATTGTAGATGATGTTAAAATCAGCACTGCTTTAACCACCAAAGCTGAGAAGTAACTCTAAACCTGTCAAAATATAAGATTTCTGGATTTTTTTTCGACAGTTTTATCAAACTCTCAGTAGTAAGGAGACAATAAAGTTCTGAGACATTTAATTTTAAGTTTTCAACTGGAACAATCTTTGGTGTCAGCAGAAGTGGATTCATGTCAGATGTGTTGTGCAGTGGTACTTTATGCATCAGCTGCATTTCCCCCCTTTGTCTTCATCCTCTCAGACATAACACATCACATGGCACAGCACCAAGAAATGGTACTGATTGTCAAACCTGTTTGTGTTTGTCTGACCCTCCCTCTGATTGGCTGCTGTAGAAGTGAACAGTTGCACTTTAACCTTCAACCTCTTTGCTCTGTTTTTTTTTTTCTTCACCTCTGTCAGTGCGCCCCAGGGCAGCTGTGGCTACAATATAGCTTGCCATCACAAGTGTGTGAATGTGTGGATGACTTAAACTGTAATGCACTTTGGGGTCCTTAGGGACGAATTAAAGCACTATATCTTTTATTGATTTTTATGCTGATTTTTTTCCGTATGAGCTTACCTGCGATAGCTTCTGGACACTTATAGATCATTAGGACTAAAGTGTTCTTAACAGAAACAGCAACATTTTTACAGTTACCTTATCCTCAGCGCTCCGTGTGTCTGTGGCCTAGACACAGCTGAAGCCTGATTACAGCATCTGGGCACTGAACAGCCTCTATAGCCTGGAAAGGTGCTAACCGCTAGGCTAACTAGCAACAAGATGCCTTCCCTCTCCACAGATGACTACCACAGCCTCCTGCAGAAGATTGCAGTACTGGAGACAAAAATTCATCGCTTAGAAGTAAACGTGGAGGTAAATGGACTGTGTGGAAATAAAACAACCTTGCCTTTGATTCAAAACAATGGCGACGAGCAAGCTAGTACACAGCTAAGGAGCACAGATAACATGACCAAGAAAGTAGACTCTGTGCATTATTATAAATCCTCAAGTGATAATCCCCCCTTGGACTGTCTTGGTGCAAAACCAAGACATAAATCATGTCTCCTGGAAGGGGGAGGACGTATCACGGGCAGAGCACAGCGAGCTGAAATCTCTGAAACCGACTGGCCTTCACTTCCTGAGAAGCTCTTCTACCCCTGTATACGGGAGGAAACAGGACTGGACAACCGTGAATAGGAAGGTTAACAACAAACCTCCAAAACAACTGAATGTGAAACTGCACAACAGATTTGCTCCACTATCAAAGGACCCTGGATCTATATCGGACAACCATCCATCTAAAAGCAGCGAAGTAAGGTCTGAAAATCTATTGAAAAGTAAAAGACCACAGGGAAAGCTAAAGGCTAGGCCTGAAACTCTGATTGTGGGTCACTCTGCCGTAAAGGATGTACAAAGGATGTGCGGTAAGAACACTAAAGTCCTCTGCTTTCCTAACGATATGGTCAACAACCTGAAGGAGAGAATTCTTCAAATTGCAGATGAATATCCAACTGTGACAAACATTGTTCTGCATACAGGGTCAAACGATGTGTCCAAACAACAGTCGGAGGTTCTGAAACGGGACTTTACTGGATTATTAAATACTGTAAACTCTCTGAATGCAGCTGTATTCATCAGTGGACCTGTACCGCCGGTCAGAGGAGGAGACGAGAGATTCAGCAGGTTGTTTACACTGAATAAATGGCTTATATCAGCATGTGCTGACCACTCAGTGCATTTTATCAACAACTTTAATATCTTTTGGGAACGCAGGCATCTGTTTAAAGCAAATGGATTTAATTTTAACAAGTCAGGGGTGAAACTGTTCACCTCCAACTTGTTTTATTCCATACGTCATCCATCTGTGCTTGGTGCCAAGGCTGAGATAAACGAGGAGTTATCTCATAAAGAAGAACAAACAGTACTCCAAGAACAGACAAAGCCCAGCAGAAACCTTGAGGAGGAGCTCCATCTGCCCCCACCCGGGAAGAGCCTCAGAAAGGAGAGACATCTGAGGCTAGAAGAGGGGTCCCTATTTGCCTCCAACTCTCTCAACAACACCAACGACCAGGACCAGGGACCACGATCTTCCCCAGTCCCCCAAACCCCTGACAGGCCATCACCCTCCTCCCCCTCCCTTTCTCCCTCCTCCCCACACCTGAAATTCACTGAGGAGATGATGGAGCGGGTCAATGCTGGGCTCAGATCTACCCCCCGGCCCAATCCCTTTTTGTCCCCCATAAACCCCCCACCAGAGCGGCCAAAGGATCACCATCGAGCCCCACCCTCAACAGCAATCGAAGTCACATTGCCCAGCCTCGCCCCACTTAGTTCCTCCTTACCACCTTCATGCTCTGTCTCCGCAGTCTGATGTGTGATGTGTGAAGGGTCCGGGCTGTGAGGATTATGGCAGTGGTGACTTTTCCCAGGAGAAGCTGGGACCCTGTTTACTAGAAGGTTTTAAAATCTCTGTACTTTTAGGTGACAGAAGGAGACATGTGGCCTGGTCAAAACACAGAGAGCTGCACTCTAAAAGATCTTTAAACATACCTTGTGTGCCACAGACTGCTCCCAAACACGAGGGGACAAGTAATACCTCTAAAACACTTAAGTTGGCTTTATTAAACGTTAGATCTCTAGCTGGGAAAACATTTTTAATTAATGATTTAATCACTGAGCACAGCCTTGATTTTATGTTTTTAACTGAAACTTGGTTGGACCAAAGTAACAGTGGAGCTGTTCTCATCGAGACGACCCCTCCTAACTACAGTTTTATCAGTGAGGCCAGGGTGAGCAGGAGAGGAGGAGGGGTTGCTGTCTTATTTAATGAATCATTTCAATGTAAGCAGCTATCTCCTGGAAGTTTTCAGTCTTTTGAATATGTGGCTTTACAGCTGAAGGCCCCATCCAAAGTTGTGTTTCTTAATGTTTACAGGCCTCCCAAATACTGCACAGACTTTTTTAATGACCTCAGTGAACTGCTGTCTGTGATCTGTGTTGATTTTGACTGTGTAATTATTGTTGGGGATTTTAACATCCATGTGGACAACCCTCAGGACAAAGGGACTAAAGACCTGAGTAACACTCTGGGCAACTTTGGGCTGACTCAGCATGTAACAGAGGCCACACATAATAGAGGACACACTCTTGACCTACTGATCTCCAAGGGCCTGAGCATTTCAAAGGTTACTGTGTCTGATGTGGGCGTGTCTGATCATTACTGTGTTTTCTTTGAAAGTAAAATCTCAGCCCACATAAATATATCAACAACAGTGATATATTTATGTTACAGATCGTCAACTTTTCTTTATTATCAGGTGTGTTTCCAGAATCACTAAAAACTGCTGTAATCAAACCTATACTGAAAAAGGACAATCTTGACAAGACACAAATGAACAACTACAGGCCGATCTCAAATCTCCCATTTTTAAGTAAGATCATTGAAAAAGCAGTTTCTCAACAGCTCAGTTACTTCTTAAAACAGAATAATTGCTACGATGCCTTCCAGTCAGGTTTTAGACAGAACCATAGCACTGAAACCGCTCTGACCAAAGTCTTTAATGACATATGTCTGAATACAGACAGTGGAAAAATGTCAGTCCTAGTTTTACTGGATCTCAGTGCAGCATTTGATACAGTTGACCACAACATATTACTCAAACGACTGGAGAACTGGACAGGTCTTTCAGGAACTGTACTAAACTGGTTCAAGACATACTTAGGAAACAGGAAATACTTTGTATCAATAGGTAACTTCACATCTGAGCAGACTAGTATCACATGTGGAGTTCCCCAAGGTTCCATCTTGGGACCCCTTCTGTTTAACATTTACATGCTCCCACTGGCACAGATTATAAAGAACAACAAAATAAACTACCACAGCTATGCAGATGACACACAAATATATATCACAATGTCACCAGGAGACCGAGGCCCTGTACAGGCTCTTGGTAAATGCATTGAGGAAATCAATGACTGGTTGTGCCACAATTTTCTCCAGCTAAACAAAAACAAAACTGAGGTAATAGTCTTTGGCGCCAAAGAAAAACGATTACAGGTCACCAGAGAACTTCAATCTATACATCTAAAAACCACAAACCAGGCGAGAAATTTGGGTGTAGTGATGGATGCAGACCTAAACTTAGAAAAACACATTAAGACAATAACAAAGTCAGCTTACTATCACCTCAAGAATATTTCAAGGATAAAAGATCTGATGTCTCAACAGGACCTGGAAAAACTAGTCCATGCATTCATCTTTAGTAGGCTTGATTACTGTAACAGCATTTTTACAGGTCTACCTAAAAAATCAGTCAGACAACTACAGCTCATTCAGAACTCTGCTGCTCGAGTCCTCACTAAGACCAAAAAAGTGGACCACATCAGTCCAGCTCTGAGGTCTTTACACTGGCTGCCTGTCCGTCAGAGGATAGACTTTAAAGTTCTAATGCTGGTCTATAAAGCTCTGAATGGTTTAGGACCAAAATACATCAGTGACCTCCTGACCCAGTATGAACCTTCCAGATCCCTCAGGTCATCCGGATCCGGTCTTTTATCAGTTCCCAGAGTCAGAACCAGACACGGAGAAGCTGCATTCAGCTTTTATGCTCCTTATATCTGGAACAAACTCCCAGAAAGCCTCAGATCAGCTGAAACACTCAGTTTATTTAAATCCAGGTTGAAGACTCACCTATTCTCAGCTGCATTTGAATAAAGCACCAAATCCACACTTTTAAGCTTAAATTTCAAAACTTACATTAACTACTGATTTTATCTACTGTTCTGATTTTATATACTGTTTTGTTTGTTTGTTTGTATGTTAAGTGGGTTTAGAGCTCTGGGTAGCTCCCCAGCTGGGTCTAGACTGGGTCTAGAGAGTATTTTAAATTCAGGGAATTTAAAATAGAAAGTAGCTCGTCCACAGAAGGACTGGTAGCTCCCCTTACGATAAGGGTTCAGATCGCGCGAACAGGTGTGAATGTCAATGTGTGTGTTTAGTTTGTTTGTTTGCTGGTTTTAATCAATTTTAAATCATGCTTTTTATCTGTTTTTGTTTCTAATGTCTCTGTAAAGCACTTTGAATCACCTTGTTGTTGAATTGTGCTATACAAATAAATTTGCCTTGCCTTGCCTTGCCTATACAAATACAGGCCATTTACCATTTTCTTTCAGACCAGAAAACCATCAGAGCTGAGTCTGGGCAGGACGTCAATCTGACATGTCGAGCTCCAAACAACAGTATCATCATCGTTTTAGAGTGGAGCAGAGATGACCTGGGAGATAAATATGTGCTTTTTTATCGGAATGAGCAGTTGGATCCAGACAACCAGCATCCATCTTTTAAGAACCGGGTGGATCTGCAGGACAGTCAGATGAAGGATGGAGACGTGTCTTTGATTCTCAAGAATGTGACGATAAATGATGCTGGAACATACGAGTGTCGTGTTGAGACAGTGACAAAACGCAGGAAGAGAGCCAGTTTAGATACTAATCCCATCAGCATCATCAGTCTAAGTGTCGTACCTCCAGGTGAGTGAGTAGAGTTGAGTGTGTGTGTGATCAGAGGTGAAGCTGCTTCCTGGTTGTTGATGTTTGTTTCTAAAGATGTTGTTGATGAGACTTTGTAGAAAGCAGCTGGTCTGAGTGATGTGATCAGAGTGCAGTAGATAATGTCTGACAGCAGTTTGAAGAGGAAATGGATTCTGTTCTGTTCTTCACTCATCACCTACCTGACAGCTGACACCTCACACCTGTTTCTCACCTGCAGGTCAGACAGGAGGAGACACAGAGGATGGAGGGAAGGAGGATGGAGGGAAGGAAGATGGAGGGAAGGAGGATGGATCTGTTGGAATGATCGTTGGCCTGACAGTACCTGCTCTGCTTCTTTTTACTGGTGTTGTTGGTTTTTTGATCTACAGAAAACATAAACAGCAGAGTCAGGATCCATACTAGCTGCCTGAGTAATTGCAACATATTTGAAATGTCTTTAGTGTTTTTGATGATGATGATGTTTGGTAAGAGAAGCATCACTACGATAAAATGCAGAATGGAGTTCAACTGCCCAATATGCAAATTAAAAAAAGAAATACAAGCAGGTTGAGAACCAGGAGCTGCTGATCTGTCAGCCCGAGACTGGCAGAGATTTATTAAAACAGACATATTCTTTAATATCACTGAGACTGAACTTCTAGCTTTTTGTTAATTCTATATATATATATATATATATATATATATATATATATATATATATATATATATATATATATATATATATATATATATATATATATATATATAATTTATATATGAGAAAGTAAAACCGCTCAAAAGACACTGAGCAGCCTGAGACTGGCAACGATTAAAAAAACAACAACAAAAAAAACAGATATTCTTTAAAATCTGTGGGTTTAGACTCTACATGATGACATCCTGCAAGAATAAACATTCATTTTATTCTCTAGGTTAATAAGATAAGATGCTGCCTATTAGATCAAGTTTAAGATTTTACGCCTACAACATTTTACATGTAATTTATTTCAACCTTTGAGCAGGATTTTGCAAAACTATAAATAATAATAGTAATTTTAAGTTTTAAGCCGTACTAAGATTACGCTGTGCAACATTTTAAACCAAGTTTTATTTCTTTATATTTTGCTATGAAAAGTGGAAGTAGGTGCAGCTATAAAATGAAACAAGCACACATGTAGAGTTTGTACAGTTCTAATAAGCTGAAAGTCTGTATTTCGTATGACTGCCTTTATTCTTCAGCACAGCCTGAACTCGCTCAGGCAGCTTTCCTGTATTTCAGTAGTCTTCAGGAATAGTTCTCCAGGATATTCAAAGCTTTTCTTTGGATGTTTCTGCCTTTTTGTTCCGTTCTCTGTCAAAATGATCCCACACTGCTTAAATAATGTTGAGCTCTGGGAGGCCGATCCATGACTGATTCAGTTACTGCATTTGCAGTGTGTTTGAGATCATTGTTATGCTGAGTAATGAATTTGTTTCCAGTCAGATTCATTCATTCTAGATGCATCGTGGATCAAATTATAATTGTATGTTTATTCGATCATTATTCCATCAGTTTTAACAACACCGCTACTACTCCAACACTACTGGCTGAAATGCAGCTCCAAACCTTGACAGACTCTCCATCCTGTTTTACAGTTGAAGAGATGAATATTTAAACCAAAACTTTCAAATGTGAATTGTGATGAGACTTCAGCGCCCAGTAAATGAATCAGCTGAAGGTCCAGATGCATCTCAGGTCTTTGCTGGAATTGTTTCTGGTTCTTAAGTGGCTTTCAGAAACAGGCTGCCTCTTCTTTTGTCCTCCTGTTGTCCAGTTTCCTCGATAATTTTAAGGACACACTTCACATCATGCTGAGATCTGCCTAGTTTTTAGCTAACAGCTTTTTGGGAATCCGTTTGCTGGTGCAAATATATTACTTTATGCCTATAAAACTGTTATTTTTGGTAACAAACTGTGTGCTTTTGTGACTGGCTACTAATAACAAAGTGCCTAAGTTGTCTGTTATGTTCAGACACAGTACTGGTTCAACTGTGAAGTTGCATGAACGATTGTCACCGTTAAGTGTCTTGCCAAACAAGAAAAACAAATCTCTCTGAAATGGTTCAGGTAGAAGAACTATAGACTGCAGGAAATAAGTGAAAGTTATTTGTGACAAGCAAACTAATCCTCGTATAGAGATCAGCTGTTACAGAGTAATTACAGACACAGAACACAAACAATATGAAGCTCGATGGATTATAGATGATAGATAATCTGTTAAATAATGTCCAGGATCAATTTGCTACCTGTAATTAAGTGATTAGGAAACTGGGTTATAAAACCAAAGACAGAAATATTTTCCAAGTAGCTGCAGAGTCAGATGTTGCCTCTTATCTCTGAAGCTTTAACTTTTGAGTCTGTTTGTTACTTTAAATATTCCAAAACTTGTTAACATATTGTTTATTTATTTCACTTTTGCCTTTTCTGTTTGTTTATTCCTAATAAAGTTTATCAAACATTGGTACGAAATCTTTTAGTCTTCATTGATTGTTTGTGTTGTTCTATTGGCCTGTTGAACTTGTGGATGCCGATTCTATTTGAGCTGAAAGCAGTAAACCAGTAAAACAATAAAATCACTGTTTTCCCTGGAAGAACAAACATTACAAAGAATAACATTCAAAGAATCCTGGTTAACTGCAGGAGATTGGGAGATGACTAAGTTTTGAGTCTGTGCCTGCAGTTAGGCAAGGCAAGGCAAGTTTATTTGTATAGCACAATTCAACAACAAGGTGATTCAAAGTGCTTTACAGAGACATTAGAAACAAGAACAAATAAAAAGCATGATTTAAAATTGAATAAAACAAGCAAATAAACTAACTAACTAGTTAACAAACAAACAAACAAACAACAGTATATAAAATCAAAACAGATAAAATCAGAACAGTAGATAAAATCAGTAGTTAAATGTAAGTTTTGAAATTTAAGCTTAAAGTGTGGATTTGGTGCTTTATTCAAATGCAGCTGAGAACAGGTGAGTCTTCAACCTGGATTTAAATAAACTGAGTGTTTCAGCTGATCTGAGGCTTTCTGGGAGTTTGTTCCAGATATAAGGAGCATAAAAACTGAATGCAGCTTCTCCGTGTCTGGTTCTGACTCTGGGAACTGATAAAAGACCGGATCCAGATGACCTGAGGGATCTGGATGGTTCATACTGGGTCAGGAGGTCATTGATGTATTTTGGTCCTAAACCATTCAGAGCTTTATAGGCCAGCATCAGAGCTTTAAAGTCTATCCTCTGACGGACAGGCAGCCAGTGTAAAGACCTCAGAGCTGGACTGATGTGGTCCACTTTTTTGGTCTTAGTGAGGACTCGAGCAGCAGAGTTCTGAATGAGCTGTAGTTGTCTGACTGATTTTTTAGGTAGACCTGTAAAGATGCTGTTACAGTAATCAAGCCTACTAAAGATGAATGCATGGACTAGTTTTTCCAGGTCCTGTTGAGACATCAGATCTTTTATTTTTGATATATTCTTGAGGTGATAGTAAGCTGACTTTGTTATTGTCTTAATGTGTTTTTCTAAGTTTAGGTCTGCATCCATCACTACACCCAAATTTCTCGCCTGGTTTGTGGTTTTTAGATGTATAGATTGAAGTTCTCTGGTGACCTGTAATCGTTTTTCTTTGGCGCCAAAGACTATTACCTCAGTTTTGTTTTTGTTTAGCTGGAGAAAATTGTGGCACAACCAGTCATTGATTTCCTCAATGCATTTACCAAGAGCCTGTACAGGGCCTCGGTCTCCTGGTGACATTGTGATATATATTTGTGTGTCATCTGCATAGCTGTGATAGTTTATTTTGTTGTTGTTTATAATCTGTGCCAGTGGGAGCATGTAGATGTTAAACAGAAGGGGTCCCAAGATGGAACCTTGGGGAACTCCACATGTGATACTTGTCTGCTCAGATGTGAAGTTACCTATTGATACAAAGTATTTCCTGTTTCCTAAGTATGTTTTGAACCAGTTTAGTACAGTTCCTGAAAGACCTGTCCAGTTCTCCAGTCGTTTGAGTAATATGTTGTGGTCAACTGTATCAAATGCTGCACTGAGATCCAGTAAAACTAGGACTGACATTTTTCCACTGTCTGTATTCAGACATATGTCATTAAACACTTTGGTCAGAGCAGTTTCAGTGCTGTGGTTCTGTCTAAAACCTGACTGGAAGGCATCGTAGCAATTATTCTGTTTTAAGAAGTAATTGAGCTGTTGGGAAACTGCTTTTTCAATGATCTTACTTAAAAACGGGAGATTTGAGATCGGCCTGTAGTTGTTCATTTGTGTCTTGTCAAGATTGTCCTTTTTCAGTATAGGTTTGATTACAGCAGTTTTTAGTGATTCTGGAAACACACCTGACATTAAAGAAAAGTGGACGATCTGTAACAGGTCTGACTCCAAAGTCTTTGAGACCTTTTTGAAAAAACTTGTTGGCAGGACATCTAAACAGCAGGAGGAGTTGTTCAGTTGACCTAAGATGTCCTCCAGGTCTTTGCTGTTAATAGGTTGAAACTGTTTCATGGTGTTTAAACAGTTTTTTGGTGGACACAGTACATATCCTGGATCTGCTGTTGACGTACCAATTGCTTGTCTAATTTTTTGGATTTTTTCAGTGAAGAATTTGGCAAAGTCATTGCAGGCCATGGTCGAATGAAGTTCAGCTGCCACTGACACAGGAGGGTTTGTTAGCCTGTCAACTGTAGAAAATAAGACCCGAACATTATGGCTGTTTTTAGTGATGATGTCAGAGAAGTAGGACCTCCTTGCATTCCTCAGTTGTAAATTATAATTGTGAAGTTTCTCTTTATAGATGTCATAATGAACCTGGAGGTTTGTTTTTCTCCATCTGCGCTCAGCTTTCCTACACTCTCTTTTTTCATTTTTCACCAGTGTGGAGTTTCTCCATGGAGACTTTTTCCTTCCAGAGATAACCTTCACCTTAATGGGAGCAATAGTGTCCATTACATTTAACATGTTAGCATTGAAGCTATTGACGAGCTCATTGACTGACCCTCTGGGCAGGTCAGGTGTTAATGGGAAGACCTGGTTAAAAATTGCACTACTGTGTTCAGTTATACACCGTTTTGTGATCACTGTTGTTGATATATTTGTGTGGGCTGAGATTTTACTTTCAAAGAAAACACAGTAATGATCAGACAGGCCCACATCAGACACAGTAACCTTTGAAATGCTCAGGCCTTTGGAGATCAGTAGGTCAAGAGTGTGTCTTCTATTATGTGTGGCCTCTGTTACATGCTGAGTCAGCCCAAAGTTGCCCAGAGTGTTACTCAGGTCTTTAGTCCCTTTGTCCTGAGGGTTGTCCACATGAATGTTAAAATCCCCAGCAATAATTACACAGTCAAAATCAACACAGATCACAGACAGCAGTTCACTGAGGTCATTAAAAAAGTCTGTGCAGTATTTGGGAGGCCTGTAAACATTAAGAAACACAACTTTGGATGGGGCCTTCAGCTGTAAAGCCACATATTCAAAAGACTGAAAACTTCCAGGAGATAGCTGCTTACATTGAAATGATTCATTAAATAAGACAGCAACCCCTCCTCCTCTCCTGCTCACCCTGGCCTCACTGATAAAACTGTAGTTAGGAGGGGTCGTCTCGATGAGAACAGCTCCACTGTTACTTTGGTCCAACCAAGT